ATCTTGGCTTCGTTGCAGTCTCCCATCCTGAGCAAGCACAGTGGAGACAGTGGAAAGAAAAACTCCCTTTAACAGGAAGAAACCTCCAGCAGAACCAGGCTCAGGACAAGAGACCATCTGCTTTGACCGGCTGGTTGAGAGGACAGGAAGGAGAGACAGACGAACACAGAATGGTAAGTCCAGGTATAGGTCCAGGTCCAGATTTAGGTCCAGGTCCAGATATAGGTCCAGGTCCAGATATAGGTCCAGGTCCAGATATAGGTCCAGGTGTATCTGAAAGACAAAAACACATGTTAAGGATAGAGAAAATAATTACAAATACAAAACAGGTTGAGCAGAGTAAGTAAAGACAGCAGCAGAGTGAAAAGTGTGGTCAGTTTGTCCTCCAGCAGTCTAAGCCTATAGCAGCAGAACTAAGGGACAGCTCAGGAAACCCAAGCCGACCCTAACTATAGGATTTATCAAAAAGGAAAGTCTTAATCCCAGTCTTAAAACTGGACAATGTGTCAGCCTCATGGACAGAAACTGGAAGTTGGTTCCACAAGAGAGGAGCCTGAGAACTGGAAGATCTTCCTCCCATTCTGCTGCTGGAAACTCTAGGAACCACAAGTAAACCTGCAGTCTGAGAGTGAAGTGCTCTGTTAGTAAAATATGGAACAATAAGATCTGTAATATAAGATGGAGCTAGGTTGTTGAGAGCTTTGTAGGTTAGAAGTAAGATTTTGAATTCTATTCTGGATTTGACAGGGAGCCAATGGAGAGAAGCTAAAACTGGAGAGAGATGATCTCTCCCAGTAACTCCAGTTAAGACTCTGGCAGCAGCATTTTGGATCAACTGAAGACGTTTTAAAGAAGTATTTGGACACCCAGATAATAAACCATTGCAATAGTCCAGTCTAGACGTGACAAATGCATGGACCAGTTTTTCTGCATCATCTTTAGATCAGATGTTTCTAATGTTAGTGATATTACACAGGTGGAAGAAGGAGGTTCTAGTAACGTTTTTAATGTGGGGGATAAAAGACATGTCCTGATCAAAAATAACACCAAGATTTTTAACATTAGAGCTGGAGGACAGATTAATGCATCTAAGGAGGGAGAAAGACGGAAACATTCATTCCTAAGGTGCTCAGGTCCAAAAACCAAAACCTCAGTCTTGTCTGTTCAACAGGAGAAAATTAAGGGTCATCCAGGTTTTTATGTCTTTAAGACATGCTTGTAGTCTAAGTAGCTGATTGGATTCATTGGGTTTAATGGACAAATATAATTGTGTGTCATCAGCATAACAATGGAAATTTATCCCATGCTGTTTAATAACTTTACCTAATGGAAGCATATATAAAGTAAAGAGTATTGGCCCAAGCACTGAGCCCTGAGGAACTCCATGACTAACTTTGGTGTATGAAGATTTATTATTTACATTTACAAACTGGAATCTATCAGATAGATATGATTTAAACCATTTTAGAGCTGTTCCTGTAATCCCTACATCATATTCAAGCCTCTGTAGTAAAATATTGTGATCAACTGTATCAAATGCAGCACTGAGGTCTAACAGGACCAGTAGAGACACAAGTCCATTGTCTGAGGCCATGAGAATATCATTAGTAACTTTTACTAGTGCTGTTTCTGTGCTATGATGAGCTCTAAACCCTGACTGAAACTCTTCAAACAGATTATTTCTTTGTAGATGTTCACGCAACTGACCTGCAACTATTTTCTATAGAATTTTTGAGATGAAAGTTAGATTAGATGGGCAGCACGGTGGCGCAACTGGTAGAGCTGCTGCCTCTCAGCGAGCAGGTCCCTGGTTCAAACCCCGGTCCAGGGGCCTTCTGGGTGGAGTTTGCATATTCTCTCCGTGCATGCGTGGGTTTTCTCCGGGTACTCCGGTTTCCTCCCACAGACCAAAAACATGCATGTTAGACTGATTGGTAACTCTAAATTGTCCCTAGGTGTGAGTGAGAGAGTGAATGGTTGTTTGTCTCGTTTGTCTCTATGTGTCCCTGTGATGGACTTGCGACCCGTCCAGGGTGTCCCCCGCCCCTCGCACAGTGATTGCTGGACATGGGCACCAGCGACCCCGTGACCCAAAATGGAATAAACGGGTAAAGAAAATGGATGGATGGATGGAAGTTAGATTAGATATAGATCCATAGTTGGCCAGAATTTCTGAATCAAGGTCAGACTTCTTAAGTACAGGTTTAATTACAGCAACCTTAAAGCTCTGTGGTACGTAACCATCAATTAAAGACAAATTAAGTAGATCCAAAATGTGGACATTAATTAGTGGAAATAGCTCTTTAAACAGTCTGGTTGGGATGGGATCTAGCAGGCATGTGGATGGTTTGGATGAGGTTATTATTTTTGACAATTCAGAGCTCAACAGGACAAAAACTGTCCAAACATAAATCAGACTCTAGTGAAATTTTTAAAGTTGCCTCATTTGACAGGGGACTAGAGATAGTAGAAGGAAGGATGGTTTGAATTTTCTCTCTAACTGAAATAATTTTATTTATAAAGAATCTCATGAAGTCATCATTACTTATAGTTGTAGGGAGAAGACTGGAGACCTGTCCTGGGTGTCTCTGGGACAGACTGGAGACCTGTCCTGGGTGTCTCTGGGACAGACTGGAGATACAGTCTTGTATATATATATATGTAGAGTCCTGATGACTCTGTACCACAGAGCAGACAGCGTCCCCACTAGCCCAGGAGCCAGGCAGAAGGAGAAATCCCACACAAGACAGGCTCTAGAGCAATGTGGATATCCTAACTGGGCCTTCCTGAAAGCAGAGAAGAAACCCAAACAGGACTCCAGTCAGCCATCAGGTGAAAAGGAGGAACCCAGACCCAGACCAGTGGTCATTCCATATGTTGAGGGAGTATCAGAGAAACTGAGACATTTATTTTCTAAACATAACTTCCCAGTGGCTTTTAAACCCCAAAATACATTAAAGACTGGTTCATCCCAAAGATCCAGTCCCCCGGCACAAACAGAGTAATGTTGTGTATGCTGTTCAGTGTCAGGAGGGTGATCAGTCTTACATCGGGGAAACTAAACAGCCACTGGCCAAAAGGATGGACCAGCACAGAAGATCAACATCATCAGGCCAGGACTCTGAGGTCTACACTCATCTCCAGGCCAGAGGTCACTCTTTCAGGGATGAAGATGTTCACATCCTGGACAGAGAGGAACGATGGTTTGAGAGAGGAGTAAAGGAGGCCATCTTTGTGAAAAGAAACCGTCCATCATTAAACAGGGGCGGAGCCTCCAGGTTCAACTGTCCCCCTCTTACAATGCTGTGATTGCT